GGACCGTGTCGCAGGGCTAAAACACCATGGCAGTGAAGGACGGATTGGGCCCGCGGCCCGTATCCCAGACTGCCAAACGTCACTTTCTGAACCGACTAGAAACTAGCTCCAAACCTTGGACTTTTCCTGCGTTTCTGCACTGCCAACTGCCACCCTGCTCGTGTCCTCCTGGAGCCGGCCTTCGTTCTGCACCGCTTCGGTCCAAGCTGGAGTCCAAGGACCGTGTCGCAGGGCTAAAACACCATGGCAGTGAAGGACGGATTGGGCCCGCGGCCCGTATCCCAGACTGCCAAACGTAACTTTCTGAACCGACTAGAAACTAGCTCCAAACCTTGACTTTTCCTGCGTTTCTGCACTGCCAACTGCCACCCTGCTCGTGTCCTCCTGGAGCCGGCTTTCGTTCTGCACCGCTTCGGTCCAAGCTGGAGTCCAAGGAACGTGTCGCAGGGCTAAAACACCATGGCAGTGAAGGACGGATTGGGCCCGCGGCCCGTATCCCAGACTGCCAAACGTCACTTTCTGAACCGACTAGAAACCAGCTCCAAACCTTGACTTTTCCTGCGTTTCTGCACTGCCAACTGCCACCCTGCTCGTGTCCTCCTGGAGCCGGCTTTCGTTCTGCACCGCTTCGGTCCAAGCTGGAGTACAAGGACCGTGTCGCAGGGCTAAAACACCATGGCAGTGAAGGACGGATTGGGCCCGCGGCCCGTATCCCAGACTGCCAAACGTCACTTTCTGAACCGACTAGAAACTAGCTCCAAACCTTGGACTTTTCCTGCGTTTCTGCACTGCCAACTGCCACCCTGCTCGTGTCCTCCTGGAGCCGGCCTTCGTTCTGCACCGCTTCGGTCCAAGCTGGAGTTCCAAGGACCGTTGTCGCAGGGGCTCTACTCTTAAAAAACCATGGCAGTGAAGGGCGGATTTTTGGGGGGGGGGTGGACCGCGGCCCGTATCCCAGACTGCCAAACGTCACTTTCTGAACCGACTAGGAACTAGCTCCAAACCTTGACTTTTCCTGCGTTTCTGCACTGCCAACTGCCACCCTGCTCGTGTCCTCCTGGAGCCGGCTTTCGTTCTGCACCGCTTCGGTCCAAGCGGGAGTCCAAGGACCGTGTCGCAGGGCTAAAACACCATGGCAGTGAAGGACGGATTGGGCCCGCGGCCCGTATCCCAGACTGCCAAACGTCACTTTCTGAACCGACTAGAAACTAGCTCCAAACCTTGACTTTTCCTGCGTTTCTGCATTGCCAACTGCCACCCTGCTCGTGTCCTCCTGGAGCCGGCTTTCGTTCTGCACCGCTTCGGTCCACGCTGGAGTCCAAGGACCGTGTCGCAGGGCTAAAACACCATGGCAGTGAAGGACGGATTGGGCCCGCGGCCCGTATTCCAGACTGCCAAACGTCACTTTCTGAACCGACTAGAAACTAGCTCCAAACCTTGGCTTTTCCTGCGTTTCTGCACTGCCAACTGCCACCCTGCTCGTGTCCTCCTGGAGCCGGCTTTCGTTCTGCGGCTCCAAACCTTGACTTTACCTGCGTTTCTGCACTGCCAACTGCCACCCTGCTCGTGTCGTCCTGGAGCCGGCTTTCGTTCGGCACCGCTTCGGTCTAAGCTGGAGTCCAAGGACCGTGTCGCAGGGCTAAAACACCATGGCAGTGAAGGACGGATTGGGCCTGCGGCCCGTATCCCAGACTGCCAAACGTCACTTTCTGAACCAACTAGAAATAAGCTCTAAACCTTGACTTTTCCTGCGTTTCTGCACTGCCAACTGCCACCCTGCTCGTATCCTCCTGGAGCCGGCTTTCGTTCTGCACCGCTTCGGTCCAAGCTGGAGTCCAAGGACCGTGTCGCAGGGCTAAAACACCACGGCAGTGAAGGACGGATTGGGCCCGCGGCTCGTATCCCAGACTGCCAAACGTGTCCACCTTTCGGAAAAGAATAGAAAGAAGAAGAAGAAGAAGAAGAAGAAAGAACAGCAAGAGAGAACGAAAGAAACGAAGAAGAAGAAAGAAGAAGAGAGAAAACTAGCTCCAAACCTTGACTTTGCCTGCATTTCTGCACTGCCAACTGCCACCCTGCTCGTGTCCTCCTGGCGCCGGCTTTCGTTCTGCACCGCTTCGGTCCAAGCTGGAGTCCAAGGACCGTGTCGCAGGGCTAAAACACCATGGCAGTGAAGGACGGATTAGGCCCGCGGCCCGTATCCCAGACTGCCAAACGTCACTTTCTGAACCGACTAGAAACGAGCTCCAAACCTTGACTTTTCCTGCGTTTCTGCACTGCCAACTGCCACCCTGCTCGTGTCCTCCTGGAGCCGGCTTTCGTTCTGCACAAACTCTTCGCCCCTTCTGGCATCTTGTTGCTAGTAAGGCCTCCTCTGACGCGCTCCCCCTGCTGACGGCAGGGGTCGGCGGATAATGCTGCCACTTGGCAACCGTAGGGCTGCATGGAAGCATGTCGAAACGGGCTTTCAAGGTGCTCCAATGAGTGCTTTCTCACTGGCTACAATATTGGAAGATGCAGAGGTGAGTCAGACAGAGCCCGGGGGCATGTCAAATGTCTCATTTTGTTGCCGCATGTGGATCTTGGATGATCTTCCATGAAAGAAAAGTACTGTAATTAGATCGCATTGACACCTGGAGGTATCTTTCTGCCTATCTTGACGCATCCTCATGTCAGATCATGTCAGATGTTGTTCTCGTATGAGGCTCGCCGCTTCTTGGTTCTGAGCGCTGCCTTTCTTTGCTCCTTTGGCTTTGATGTGGATCTAAAGCAATCACATATACATAGTAAATGCTGTGACCCTAAGGAAATCAATAATCAAAAAAACCAGCAACTGCGGAAACCGTTCTGCGGGCAATGGAGGTTGGTATTCTATAAGTCAGCAGGTCTTGTCAGCTTGTCTCAGCGCAGAATGGTTTGGGGATCCAAAAAGTGTCTGAAACAACTCAGCAGGTTGATTTCCACTCGTGGGTCTTTCATGGCTGGGACAAGTTGCCAGCAGTCAGATACTGTGATTGTGTTGCTTCCTCGCTCTGTGGCACTATGGAGTACTATGGGCATCTATTGACTCTATTGCGTTTCCAGGCTTGATCCTGGTACAATATGGTCCAATGATGTTTCGATTCAAGCTAGAAGCCCGGGCAGCTCAGCTTGAGCAACTCAGGTAGCATGCAAATCAGCGCCATACTCGAAGAATACATCTACGCTCCTCGATTGCAAGTGTAATGGCGTCACTGTTGTTTGAAACCAGCTTTGGTCAAGGCTCGACCAATGAAACTCCAACTTGACTTGATGGCCTACTGTTTCGATATCACCTGATACAAGATTTGCTTATGATTTGCTTAAACATCAAGTGAACAGTACAAGCAATACCCGCAATAGACCGATGCACATTTCCAATCATTTCCACACTTCCTGGTCTCCCTTTGCGTGCAAGTGATGTCCATAAATATACATATATATATAATTATATATATATATAAATATGATATCATTATATCATCCCCCAGCATTGCGTGCCACGGTGTAGCAGCGTAGCATGGTGTATCAGCTGTGGCTGGAGGTGTCACTGCCTGGTTTCGCCAACTATTTTTGGACCGTGGCCATGGTGGAGCTGGGATTCTTCGCTGTGTCATCATTGGCAGTTCGATGGAAGGCGCGTGAATCGGTGAATCAGTGCCTCCTTTTTTGCAGGGCCCTAGGGAGATTGGATGAGATTGTGGTTGAAAATTATTTTGGGATCACCAGGTCCTGCATAGAAGGAACATGAAGGAACCAGGTGGGGAAATATTTTTTAATTGATAGAAAATACACCTGTTCTGAGCTGAAGACTTCCACCACAGGTTGTAACGGAATGTGACGCATGACGGCAATTGGTTTGAGACGTTGAACCTTCCACACCACAACACAACACTAATCTAAACAACACTTCTGGTATCATATGCGCTGTCAATGGAACGTCAACACAGTGCCCGCTGGAAACACTGGCATTCCAAACGGAGTTGTTCAACTGAGTCACATGCTTGTGCGGGCCAAGCAACAACTTGATTTGCCCAGATTGAAACCGGTACAGTAAGCGCAGCCCGAACCAGAGCTTTTGCAATGCTTATTTGGTGAAAGCTTGCAAAGCTGCGATGACATAGAGCACGGTCATATTATATAATTATATATATATATTTATATACAATCACTCCTCACTACGCATGTTGTTTGGATAACTGGCTGGGCACAAATGGGCCCTGAACGAGCAGCTGATGCGACAGACACAACCCCGTCACATCATGTCACATCATGTCACATCAGGGGGCGGTCGCAGGAGCATGGAATGCAAGGCTTCTTTCTGATGCAGAAGCCACAGGCAGCTTCCGGCTTGAAACCAACTGCTGAACAATCTGAACATTGCTACGGATGGCGGACCTCAAACCTTGAGCTATCTTGAGCTCTCTTTGCCAAACCGACTGACCACCTTGTCACTTTCATCAACTTTCCGGGCCAGGATAAAATGACAACAGTTCCAAGCCGTATTATGACTTCATATGATTTCATAGAATTTCCTGAGTGTGTCTCGGGGAGGCGCCATGGCAGCTATACCTGATTATGGCGCTGTTGCTGCTCAGCTGCCAGTAGTGACAGGCTCATCCTGCTATATCCTGCTTCTTTCCAATCAATTAAATCAAACAAATGATCAAAGGGTTGTGACAGGCTGCGACAAGTTTATTGGTTAATATTGGTTATATTATATATATAGTTATAGTTATAGTATGTTATAGTATGTTATAGTATGTTATAGTATGTTATAGTATATTATAGTATCTTGTGGTATGTTATAGTATGTTATAGTATGATATAGTATGTTATAGTATGGTATAGTATGGTATAGTATGTTATAGTATGTTATAGTATGTTATAGTATGATATAGTATGTTATAGTATGGTATAGTATGTTATAGTATGCTATAGTATGGTATAGTATGTTATAGTATGGTATAGTATGTTATAGTACGTTTGAGTATGTTATAGTATGTTATAGTATTTTATAGTATGGTATAGTATGTTATAGTATGGTTTAGTATGTTATAGTATGTTATAGTATGTTATAGTATGTTATAGTATGATATAGTATGTTTTAGTATGTTATAGTATGATATAGTATGTTATAGTATGGTATAGTATGTTATGGTATGGTATAGTATGTTATAGTATGGTTCAGTATGGTATAGTATGTTATAGTATGGTTTAGTATGTTATAGTATGGTATAGTATGTTATAGTATGTTATAGTATCGTATATAGTATGTTATAGTATGGTATATAGTATGTTATAGTATGGTATAGTATGTTATAGTATGGTATAGTATGTTATAGTATGTTACAGTATATTATTGTATGTTATAGTATGATATAGTATGTTAGTATGTTATAGTATGTTATAGTATGGTATAGTACGTTTGAGTATGTTATAGTATGTTATAGTATTTTATAGTATGGTATAGTATGTTATAGTATGGTTTAGTATGTTATAGTATGGTATAGTATGTTATAGTATGTTATAGTATGGTTTAGTATGTTATAGTATGGTTTAGTATGTTATAGTATGTTATAGTATGATATAGTATGTTATAGTATGATATAGTATGGTATAGTATGTTATAGTATGTTATAGTATGGTATAGTATGTTATAGTATGATATAGTATGTTATAGTATGGTATAGTATGTTATAGTATGATATAGTATGTTATAGTATGATATAGTATGTTATAGTATGATATAGTATGTTATAGTATGATATAGTATGTTATAGTATGGTATAGTATGTTATAGCATGGTATAGTATGTTATAGTATGTTATAGTATGTTATAGTATGGTATATAGTATGTTATAGTATGGTATAGTATGTTATAGTATGGTATAGTATGTTATAGTATGTTACAGTATGGTATAGTATGTTATAGTATGTTATAGTATGATATAGTATGTTATAGTATGTTATAGTATGGTATAGTACGTTTGAGTATGTTATAGTATGTTATAGTATTTTATAGTATGGTATAGTATGTTATAGTATGGTTTAGTATGTTATAGTATGGTATAGTATGTTATAGTATGTTATAGTATGGTTTAGTATGTTATAGTATGGTATAGTATGTTATAGTATGTTATAGTATGATATAGTATGTTATAGTAGGGTATAGTATGGTATAGTATGTTATAGTATGTTATAGTATGGTATAGTATGTTATAGTATGGTATAGTATGTTAAAGTATGTTATAGTACGTTTGAGTATGTTATAGTATGGTATATAGTATTTTATAGTATGGTATAGTATGTTATAGTATGGTATAGTATGTTATAGTATGATATAGTATGTTAAAGTATGTTATAGTACGTTTGAGTATGTTATAGTATGTTATAGTATTTTATAGTATGGTATATTATGTTATAGTATGGTTTAGTATGTTATAGTATGGTATAGTATGTTATAGTATGTTATAGTATGATATAGTATGTTATAGTAGGGTATAATATGTTATAGTATGGTATAGTATGTTATAGTATGGTATAGTATGTTATAGTATGTTATAGTATGTTATAATTTGTTATAGTATGGTATAGTATGTTATAGTATGTTATAGTATGTTTCTGTGAACAGAAGCTGGTTGCCCTTAGGGCCAGCGCGTCCCCTCTGCTCAGTGCAGCGCTGTCCTGCTGCGCTGACAGGGTTGGGGTGGGCACAAACCACTCATAGGTTATCAGCTCGCATGCTCAGCTGAGCAAAGGTGAGACCGGGCGTCTGTTCTGGGGGGCGAATGCTAAAGACCTTCCCAGGCAGATGTTTGCCATGTAGCCCCTCAAAGGACTTCTGTTTGTGGCCTTCAAAAGCGCCACCACCAAAAAGAAAACAAATGGTGTCGCCACCTTCGAAGTAGGGGGTGTGAACAGAAGCTGGTTGCCCTTAGGGCCAGCGCGTCCCCTCTGCTCAGTGCAGCGCTGTCCTGCTGCGCTGACAGGGGTGGGGTGGGCACAAACCACTCATAGTTTCAGTATATTATTGTATGTTATAGTATGATATAGTATGTTATAGTATGGTATAGTATGTTATAGTATGGTATAGTATGTTATAGTATGTTACAGTATATTATTGTATGTTATAGTATGATATAGTATGTTATAGTATGATATAGTATGTTATAGTATGATATAGTATGTTATAGTATGGTATAGTATGTTATAGTATGGTATAGTATGTTATAGTATGATATAGTATGTTAAAGTATGTTATAGTATGTTATAGTATGGTATAGTGTGTTATAGTATGGTATAGTATGTTATAGTATGTTATAGTATGGTATAGTATGTTATAGTATGGTTTAGTATGTTATAGTATGTTATAGTATGTTATAGTATGGTATATAGTATGTTATAGTATGGTATATAGTATGTTATAGTATGGTATATAGTATGTTATAGTATGGTATATAGTATGTTATAGTATGGTATATAGTATGTTATAGTATGTTATAGTATGATATAGTATGTTATAGTAGGGTATAATATGTTATAGTATGGTATAGTATGTTATAGTATGGTATAGTATGTTATAGTATGATATAGTATGTTATAGTATGATATAGTATGTTTTAGTATGATATATAGTATGTTATAGTATGGTATATAGTATGTTATAGTATGGTTTAGTATGTTATAGCATGGTATAGTATGTTATAGTATGTTATAGTATGTTATAGTATGGTATATAGTATGTTATAGTATGATATAGTATGTTATAGTATGGTATAGTATGTTATAGTATGTTACAGTATATTATTGTATGTTATAGTATGATATAGTATGTTATAGTATGGTATAGTACGTTTGAGTATGTTATAGTATGTTATAGTATTTTATAGTATGGTATAGTATGTTATAGTATGGTTTAGTATGTTATAGTATGGTATAGTATGTTATAGTATGTTTTAGTATGGTATATAGTATGTTATAGTATGGTATATAGTATGTTATAGTATGATATAGTATGTTATAGTATGATATAGTATGTTTTAGTATGTTATAGTATGGTATATAGTATGTTATAGTATGGTATATAGTATGTTCTATGTATAGTTATATTAGTTTCAGTTGGTTGCGACATATCTTCGGGATATTTCGGGATCCTGCTCATGACCCCCATTGCTGGCCTAATTGACCTGGTCGCACCAAGGCTGGGCTTGTCACAGGGCCTGGGGAAGGTCACCTTCCGGTGCCCCGGATCAGTGCACCAATATATTGTCGCAAATGATCACAATAGATTCCAGACATTTCCAGATTTGCATAGATTTGCTACTGTAATTGAATTCTAATTGAACCATCGTGAAACTCTTGCAGGTACTTGAACTATGCCACAAATACTGTTGTCAAGAGTGCCAAGCTGGTACCAACCCTGATCATTTCTGCGCTGGGCTCAGACACATGCGGCAGGGAGACAGTGGGACTGATCAGTTTAGGCTTAGCCTTTTAATTTTGAAATGGCTGCAGTCAGTTGTTTAATGTTGTTTAATTACCTTCTTCCATCTTCCAGAATGATCGCAATATTCCCAATACAATCTGTCTCAACTTGAGTCTTCAAGTATGTTCAAGTCCATATTTCATGGATTTTCATGGACTCATAGACTCATTTGCAGGCTTTTAACTTGCGCTTTCCGCACTTTGTCCTGTTGATCCCATGTGTTTCCCAGCTCCAGCAGCTCCAGCAGCTCCAGCTGTGCGGCTCCCAGGTGACTTGGCTCAGACGGAGCATCTCATGTGCTCAGTGGGTGGCTGCACTGCTGCTGGTGATGTCCTCGGCCTTGATGGCCCTTGGGGAACAGGTGGGGCTGGGGATGGGAAAATCAGGAAAATCTACTGAAAATCTACTGGAAACATCCGAAACATATCGAAACCATGGATTTTGATCCCCAAATGATTTTCGGTTCCTCTGATTTTCGGACAGGCCTGAGTGGTGCCTGGAAGGAACTGAGCAGTTCGATGAATTGATTTTTCTCGGGCTTCGGTAGGTCATTGGGTTATGATTTGTGCTACCCATTGCCCAGTTGGGGGGAAAAAACTACCGAACAATTACCCCCTTATTTGCGGGGCATCTAAGATCGACCATGCATTGGGATGTGATTTCATTGTGATTAATTAATTATCAACAGATATTGGCTGCGTTTGAAAATGGGGGATACTACGAACTTGGCATTGAATAGGGGAAATGATGATAAACCCGTTGATTTGGAGGTTTTCCCCAAATCTTTCAGACAAACCTTCCTGTGGCGCCACTTTGGAATGGTAGACCACCTTGCACTGACCGTGAGGCAGCGGCACCCAGCTTCAATCCCACAGGCGGATCTGAGAGACTGGACTGATGATTTTGAAAAAACTGGTGACCAAAAGTCCAGAAGTTAACTTCAATATACTTCAATGCTCAACTTGACGAATCCAGCAGATGGTGAAGACAGTGAAGACAGTGAAGACGAGAGACATCGAGAGACCAGAGGTTCGTGATTCCAGTGATTCCTTGCTCCTTGTCCTGGCCGAGGCTTAGTTATTGCCGCGGTGCAGCTGCTGTGCGCAGCATTGCAAGGTAATATGCAGGACGTGTTCGGCGGGTTCATCCCACGGGGATGGAACGTGATGCTTGAAGCCACCGACAATGGTTGTCTGATGATCTCCTTTGAGAATTGACCCATGACAAGCGAACAGAGCGTACCATATTTGCCATTCGATTGACGAGAGAAATCGTGCTCTGTAAAGCGACTCAGAGTCATCTCTCAGCCACCGTGTATTGTTCGAAACTTCCCAGGAGAAAGCTTTGAAGGATCATGGAGCTTCCATTACGGAGGCACAGGGGGTTATTTTCTGTTCTGATCTGCTCTGGTTTCTCCTGCACTCTAGCAACTTTTGAATACTTTGTGAAGATATTTGAAGATGAGACTGATGATACTGATATGATAATTACTGATGACAGATGACACATGATCAAAGTATATCAAAGTCATCTGTCAAGTCATCTGTCACATATGGGACCCATATACAGTAGCTGCTTCAGCTGCAGCACTGAGCTGTCCATAGCTGTCCCGTTCCTGGATTCACTGAGGCCATGGCCTATAGCAACGGTCTTGGAATGGTTGTGGTTCCTCGGTGAATCTGCCAATGGGTGTTTTATGGTGTTTTTATTAGGACTAGACAGACGCAGAAGGGGAAATTCATGGAAATTGACCATGAATTGGGATTGGGATGTAACTTGAATGAATCATTGAAAATCACTAGTAAAACCATTGAATAAACCATTGAATAATCCTTTCCCACTATAGTAGAAACACTTCCACAGCACCTCGGTCAATGCTTCAGCTCTGCGGCTTGGCTTGGCTTAGGTGTTTGTAGCGATGCAGGCGCTGCTGCATCTGATGTTACTGTGTACTGCCATCATCCATTTTGGATTTGGGTGAGGCATTGTATATCATTGTATTGTCAATTATCATATTAAATAAGTATTATAAATATGATTATATGAGTCACCAACAAAATCATTGTAATACTAATTTAGTTTTGCTTCGCCTTGGCCTTTCCGAGGTTGCACAAAACCCTCAGACGCCGATACCCCATTTGTGATACCTCCGGGAATACTGAAATCCTCACAACCGATAGAAAACGATTCTAATTTGTGCATGGCATTAAGTTTAACATATATTTTTGTCCCTACTCATACAATATAATATAATATAATATCATATTATATTATATTATATATAATTTTATATAATATATTATAATATATTATATTATATTATATCATATTTTATTTTATTATGTTATAATATATTGTAATATATTGTATATATATATAGTAGTATAGTATATCCATTTGCCTGAGGTATCATCAATCAATTATCCATGTGTAGTATCATCATCATCATCATCATCATCCAAGGCCAAATCATCCAAATCTAGCACAACTTTGGAGTATGTTTGAGTATATTGCAACAAAAATGCTGGCCTCGAAAAATTGAATTGAACACCACCTCTCCATGTAGTGACTCTGGTAATATGTGCAGCACTAGATTCTTCAGATTTGCTCAGACCATGTGTCGGAGGTGTCTGGAGAAGCAGCTCCTGCATTTGAATTCTTCATGTCCTCTAAGCTCGGCACTTGGGTGGTACAAACATGTCCAGACCCCAAAAAGTCAATGCCACAGGTTTATGATGTTCTATGTGAGGGTAATAGAGAAGCAATGCTATATTTGTACCAAGTAGATCTAGATCCAAGTAGCGGATGGTGTCACAGCGCGTGCAACCTGAGGTTTGCTTTGTCGCTATTGCTGCTTCGATCTGCGACTTTTTTCATTGGACACTGGTCTTGGAATTTGTGCGTGCGTGCGTGTTGTTGTGGAAATCTCCAGAAACAATCGGACTTTTTGATGGAATAGGTGCCTTGAGAGTAGCAGTTGATGCCTTAGGCTGGAATGTCCAGGGCCATGTCAGTGTGGAGTGTGGAGATTTTAGCAGCTGCCCAAGGGTAGTGGAATCCCGGTTCCCAAATATTATTGCGGTGAGCTGTGTGCAAGATGTGACCCTGGAAATGGTGAAGAGCTGGGCACAGAGGTTTTCTCAAGTAGGCCTAGTTTTGCTGGGGGCCGGTCCCCCGTGTCAGGGTGGTAAGCGGATTGAAAGCTGCCCGAAGGGCGCCTTGAGAGATGCCCGAAGTACAGTAGTCTGTCCCGTGTAGAAAGCATCCGGTTCCTGGTGAAACAGGTTTTCCATTGGTTTTCCCCTGGGCTCAGATTAGGATGATGGAATCCGTGGCATCCATGGACCTTGATCAAGAGGTGTCCGCAAGATTGAACTCATGGTAGCTGGGTGTAGCTGGACTCCCTCTTTGTTGTTTTGCTTTTCTTTAGTGTCTTTCACACTTCACATGGATCTGGGGATGACTACTGTACCATACTCATTGACTAGAATCCACAAACAGCAGCAGCGAAGGGCCGCCTCAGAAGAACTCCTGTTTTTGTTATTTTATTTTTCCTAATTCTGTTCCTCCTCGTTGTGCGCCCATAGATTCATAATTACACTCCCAACTGTCAGAAGGTGTCACCGCAGACAGGTAGCATTTGTAGCATAGACAAATTCCAGAGTGGCAAAAACTGGAACCTTGAGCTACAAAGCAGACATTAGGGGAGAAAGGTGCAAGATCTGACAACAAACGCTAGCACAGACCCTGATGACAAGTGGCAATTTCGAAGTCACTATCAACAGCTTCAACAGCTCTTCTTTGTTGCATACCACTCTCTGAAAGGGGGCAGTGGACAGATTTATCCAGCCGGGAACAACACTTTAAAAAGTGCAGGTGATGGACGACAGACCAGTGGAAGCCTTGATCACTACTTTATTTATATATTTGATATGATTCTACAATCAGCAACCACCAAGTCGGAAACCATAAAAGTTGGAGCCATTTGCCCTTGATACATCAGTGATATTCAGTGATCACCAGTACCTCAGATTGCTATGCGCTGTCACCACATTCATGATGAGGAGCGGTTTCTCTGACGGCCATCACGAAGGACCGCACATGAATGAATTTGCTTCCTGAAGCTGCTAGCAGTGGATAGGATAGGAAAACCATGGAAAACCGATGCTGTTTTTGGTTGGTTACTCTATGTTACTCTTCAACATGGTTCATGTTTTTGGCAAGACAGACATGAAATGACATGAACCAAGTTCCGGCCAAATTCAGCGCAGATCTCATGAGGTCGCCATTACTTTTGTTAATGCATTTGGACCCTACTTGTATGTTCCTCGCTGCATGACACCACCCTCTTGGTCAAACAGATCAATGGATTACAGAGTGTATGCAAGCTCATAAGATCATATAAGTATGTTTTCTCCCAGGAGAGGTGTTGCACGCCTGTTTTGCAGAATACAAGCACACAACAGATATAATTTAGTATGTAGAATCATATATATATATATACGTAAGATAATGTGGACAATCTATTGACAATCTGCGTTGTCGTACAACATTGTATGAACAAAAGAACCATACAAGTACCTGTAATAAAAAAGTACAGGATGAGACTTTCACCAGCCCACAAGGAGCACGGCACCGGTGCTGCCACAGCAGTTGGCACGGCACGAAAGTCCCTGACAGTGTCCGGCAACCTGAAAGGGTTGAAACATGTTGAGATATGTTGAGTCAATGTCAAAGGAGCGAAATCGAGGATTCAGGACCACCTTCACAACAAGAGAACAGTCTAAATGGAAGCAATTCCTTCCAGAGAATATATTGTATGTGACCGACCTCCTTGGCACGTTTGGGCCTGTATATTCAGAAAGTAGGCGACTTAGTCGATTAGGATTCGGTAGGATCAAGCCACTGTGGCAGACTCTAGCAGCTTGAAGCGATGTCCTGAGTTTCAAACCTTTGATCGGGTGACATTGACTTTGGTCTTCAATATACATATATATATATAGTATACTGTTATACTGTTATACTGTTAAAATACTTTAAATGTGTTTCTGACCACAGGGAAAAGAGCATGGTTTGCTTTATGACGATTCAAGAGAAGATGAGAGGAGCATAGAGGAGCGTAGTTGATTTGTGTACACGTGCTAAATTTGTACCTCTCAGGCTGCTATCCTTCATGATTTTTCCGAAACCCTTCCATGTGACACTTGGCAGCAGCAGAGCCAATAGCTTGCAATTTATGATTTTTTGTTCTGTCGCCAAATTGTGCATCCACGTCAACTATCTTTGGCCTGTTTGTTTTGTTGCCTTTGATATTCTGGAACTAGGAGTGTGTAGCTGTGAAATTAGAAACTTGAACATCTTCTCCTGGTTGTTCAGATCATACTGATTTGAACTCAAGACTAGTCCTGGTCTTCATGTCTTTTTGACTTGCAGTCTACTGGCGGTCTACTTCCTCTTGTGGGTGTCACACTGCATATCATGTTTATACTCACAGCGTTTTTCTTGGCAGCCATTGGCAGCCAGTGTTGCAACATATTGGGCAACATGTTGACATGGAAAGCGGGTAAGCTTAATACATTGAAAACTGAGGGTTCCGGGTCAGCTTCAAGTCTCCCTTCTGTTTGTTATCCAGACCGAGGAATTATGTCCTTGGCACTCTTGTGCCTCAGATGCACTGGCTATTCGCATACATGTAAGAACATGATAAGTGCAATCTCAAGAACGAGATAAACAGCCTCAATCCAAACAACGCACCTGTTCCTTTCATTCCCCTTGTTGCATGTTCATTGGAAGAAGTGTTTGCTTGAGTATTCTGCACCTTCGTGAGGGTGCAAAAGTAGGATGATTTGGACGGGTGCAATTTGCATGATCCACTTCCCAATATACTTACCACAAAAAGGTTTCAAGTTTCCTGTTAGTTGCTGTTAGTTGGTACTTATTTGAGCACAATTCAACAACATTCCACCTTATTCAAACCAACACAACCCCTGCTCACAGGGCGAAGAAGCGGGTCATATGTAATCTTCTGAGCTCTCATATTGTGTTTCGTACTCAATGTTCTAATATGTATCAATGTCAAGTCTAGTATCAGGGTGTTTGGTGTTGCAGGTTTTGCATGTTCACACGATGGAGCAATGGATCATTTGCTTATTTGTTTTTGGCAGAGCCACTGATACCTGCCAGCTGTTTGCAACATGGTTCTGGAGATTGTCCAAGCTCCAACGGCTGAGGCATTTGTTCTGGCAGACATCATCTATTTACAGGCACCATAAAAGTCTTGGTGGAAGCTTTTCAGGCTGTTTGAAACTGGCATCAGTAGGACCATGCAGGATTGTGTCGGATTTGTTATGATTTGTTGCAGGTAAGTGGTCAAATCCAATGGAACTATTATGGAACTGTCGTAAAGCATCAACACTCAATGCACAATCCAATAGTGTCGCACCTCGCTGCTAAAAAAAGTGCCACACTTCCTGGCATTCCAAAGTCCAATTCTGCAGATGATGTCAGTTTGCCTCTGAACAGCAATCCCTTGGACAGTCAGTCCAGACCCTGTATCTTCACCATTCTTCACCTGGTGTACTTCTTTGAATCCGCAGACTGGGCGTAGGCTGATCACAATCACAGCCAACATCAGCGTCAACATGCTCCTACCAGTTCATTGTTATAAGCGCAACCCAGCGACCACTCTTGTAGCCAGGTCAGCTCAGCGCGACTAGCTAAAAATAAGATCGTTGGGAGCTCGACCATCGCTGCGATTGCATGTGTTTCCAGCATTTTGGTGCGTTTTGCACCCTCTTGAGAGATGCTCCAAGAAGATGGGCATCAAAAAGATCCAGAGGAATCCAGAGGAATCATGATGTTGCAGAATTGTATTGCGATATATGATCTATTGCTCAGCTCCAAGAAGATGCTACGTCGTGCTACGTAGTCAGGTTAATTTCTAGGTCAGGTGGTATCGTGTGGTGATTCTCATCCAGCGTCCAGGTCAGTCAGGCAGACGACGACATATTTCCAAGGCAACCCGGGTAGATGTAGACCAAGAGTGGCTGCAAGGCATAGGCACCTATGCATACCCAGGCATATCCAGGCATACCCAGGCATATCCAGGCATATCCAGGCATATCCAGGCATATCCAGGCATATCCAGGCATCCTGTATTTTTCTTTTCGTTCCTTTGGTCAGACATACAAAATGTTAGCTTGGTCCTGCTTGGCCACGTCGACGTCATAGTTTTGCCATGCCTTTCCTCTCTTCCATTTCTACTCAGTTACTCCTTGGCTTGCTAAGTTTTGCTTGAGTGTAAGAGTTCGTAGCTAGTGGTTTTCTGCAGTGTTGCAGGGAGAAGAGCGTGATCGGCAAAGATGTCGGCAAAGAATCTGTTTGAGCAGCTGTTGCAACTTGTGCAACCAACAAAGTTGGGATTTGTGGCATGTCTTGCACAAAGAAGTGGCTGCAAGGCAATCTCAATTCTTCCATGGAAGATTGGAGTTGCCATTCTTCTCTTTGCATTTTGCTGGATGCTGAAAGCTGGCATTCCCGGCGATTTGCAGAAACCGCAAAGTGTGTGCGATTGTGTGCGGTACCTATCTTTTTGGACCAAGTAACAGGAAATCGAACCTGGTTTCGGGGCAAGTTGCTTGTCTAGTGTACAGTGAGATGCTGTGCAGCGTACCTGTGACATCTTGTGACATCCTTGGCATGGCTTAAGCTTGCAAGCCAAGGTGTCTGGATGACCAAGATGCTCGGAAAATCCTGTTGAACTCTCTGCATGGAAAAAAGGATCACTGTGCGACAGCAGATGATGTAGAATGGTGTAGAGTCCTGTCAGCAAGACAGGATCGTGAGGTGTAATTCAAAAAGGAAAACCTTCACGCTGCTTCCTTTCTCAGCTAGTTTTGATACATTTGAATGTCTTGAAGAACACCTTAAAAAAGTTTTCTTTGGCCCTGCATCCAAAATGAAGTGGCGTTTTGGAGATGCAGGATTTTTGACTTGTAACAGCAGCCCTTGCCGATGCATCATAGCTTCTCAAAAGGTGGCCGGGAGCAGGGCGCAGGGCGGCTGGTCTCGTGCCCAAAAAGGTCAGTTGTTGAAGCCACTTAGAACATTGTCTTGAATAAGGCCGCAAATCACTCAGACTTTGTATACTGGAATCAAAACCTATCTCTCTCAATCTCTACTTAGCACACCATAGCCAGATGAGTGCACCTTTGTTATCCTTTGTTGAGGTGTTTTCACGTGTTTTCTCTATATGCATCAAAGCATCAAAGCATAACAGCCCACTGGCCTCACGGTGGCCGGCGACGAACCGCTCTTTGTATGCTCCCACTGTGGGTAAGACTCCGAGAGTCTAGACAGGCTCGGAGCAGGCACTGAGCAAGCCTGGGTCGGGGAGAGGGCATGGGGAGTCTTGAAGAGGGAGAAATTCTTTACATATCAGCCTGTGAAACGGACAGCTGTGTTGACCAAAGCGTTTCCATTCATGAGTGCATAGCCATTCACCTTTATTTACTTCTCAGCCTTTTTAGGCACAGATGACAGGCCAGGTGAGCCTCGCGGTCCCCGCAAAATCGCTGCGTGCATCTTGAGCTGCCATTGGGACTTGTTCTCAGTGGCAGCGGAGCCATGAGCTCGGATCCAGGGGTGACCACCTCTTTCCAGGGCAGAGAGCCCAATCCTCCGTCTTGGGACGGTGCAGAGCCTTCGCTGCAGTTCGCTGTATACAAGAAGAATGTGAGACTTTGGGAGTTTGAATCAGAAGTAGAAGAGAAGAAGCGAGGCGTCAGGCTTTTGAGGAGTTTGACGGGGGTTGCAAGGGCTGCTGCCGATAGTTTGGAATTTGAAGAAATCACCAGCACCAAAGGAGTGGAAAACATTCTTGGATGTTTGGAAAAACACTTTGCACCTCACTTAGAGGTTTCGTTGCCCCGTGCCTTTGAGAGGGCGATCTATGGAAACCCTAGGTCCCACAAAGAGAGCATTCAAGAATACCTGATCAGGTCAGAGCAGGCGTTCCACCTTTTAGAAAAAGAAGGGGTCAAGCTGCCAGAACAGGCTGTCGGCTATGTGATGTTCAGGCAGGCTGCTCTGACAGAAAATCAGGAGTTGCGCTTTGGTGCATGGGCTCAGGGCAAGTATGACAAGGGCACGGTGGTCTCATGCTTGCGGAAGCTCGACAAAGTGGTGCTGGAATCAAAGGGCAAGTCTTCAGTGGCATATATGCAGGAAGATGATGATGCAAGCGATTCGATGCAGTTCTCAGGGGACTACATCGAGAACGAGGCCTATGTCCTTGATGAGGGTGAGGCGTTGGAAGAGCAATATGTGTACCTTGCTGAACATGATGAGAGCAGGATCTATGATGAATCTGAAGTGCAGATGGTTTTGGCGACCTACCAGGAGGTGAGAAAGGCCATACAGGGTCGTCAGAAAGGTCGCCAATACTACAACCCTCAGAAGGGCAAGGGCAAGGGGCGAGGCTCACCTTGGCAAGACTTTGTCAAGGACAAGAAGCGCATCCACATAGAACAACTCAAACTTCGAACCCGTTGTGCGAAGTGTGGCAATGTGGGACACTGGGCGAAGGAATGCAAGAACTCGGAGGATTCCCGTGGCAAGGCTTGGAGCGCAGCTGCGGCATCTTCAAAAGGGGCTTCTAGCAGTCCGCCTTCTACCAGTGGTGGCCAAAGTTGGTATGTCTCCACGGATGCTGCTTCAGGAGCGACATCGTCAAAAGATTTTTGTTTAGTTGAGTGTAGGGGAAAACACACTCTTTTGAACACCAAAGGGTTTGGTGAAAATTTTGGGGTTGAGTCTAATGTTTGTGACTCAAAGGATGAGCGAGAACCAGATCTTTTGAGAGCTGGTAAGTTAGTTTTTGATGTGTGCCAGGGTTCAAATAGAGCCACAAGCTTAGAGCAGTGCGGAGACAGGCATTGCATGTTTGTAGGTTTGACCACGAACCCAATGATGGGAATAGTGGACACGGCGGCGCAAGACGGACTTGTTGGTGATGCAGCGCTGAAACGGTTAAAAGGTCAGTTGCGGGCTCGTGGGCTTCAAGAAGTTTGGATTGACAAAGTTTGCAAGGCACATGGAGTTGGAGGTCAGGCAAAGGTTGTTGGCATGGCAGCACTTCCACTTGGTTTGGCGGGTTGCAGTGGCGTTTTAGAAGTTTCAGTCATCGAAGGAGATGTTCCATTACTTTTGCCTATCAAACTCCTTCGTGGTCTTCAAGCAGTTGTAGATTTGAGTTGTGACAGCATGCACTTGAAGAGTCTTGGACGTTCAGTTGAGTTGCATAGCCTTCCAAGTGGTCATGTTGCAGTGGATGTACTTGATTTTGGAGAAAGAGGTTTTTCTTTGCCTTCAGAAGCCAGAGAAGCCGGCTACACAGAGAGCGAATTTCGCTGTCCTGGCTCAGAATCCGGATGTGTCATGTTGACCCACGTTCAACGACCTGAGAAAGTTGCCTACCATGTCGCGCGATCGCCTTGCTCTCTTCCGCCACGCCTTCAATCGTCCAAGTGCGGACTTTCAGCTGGTGGAGGAGTCCAGAGCTGTGCAACGCAATCCCAAGAGAGCTCTTGCGCATTGGCGACAGATGCTGGACAAGGTGCACATGCTTCAATCTTTGATTGGGCTCGAGGACTCGGTAAATTCATGGCTGCCAGCGGCATCGATGGGGGTTCAGTCTTCTCCGCCATCGCAAGAGCAGCTGGCCGCGGCAATCATCGGAGCAGAGTCCCTCGCGCCTCAGAAGTCCAAAGTGGAGCCGCCGAAGAAGGTTTCGGAGTGCACCCACCCTGCGGAGAGGCTTTCAACTTCGCAGAACCAGCATGCGGCATGGATCCTGTGTTGGGATTGCAATGCCCGTTGGAAGATTTCCAAAGAATTTGCAGGGCTGAAGACAAAGAAGGAGATGGCAGGAAGTGCAGCCAAGGCGCTGATCGCGCCTTCGACGCCGGCGAGTTCCGCCGAGATCTTCAAGCAGGAGGCAGAGATCCAAGCCCAAGAGCGTGCTCAAACCATGTACAACGAGCAGATCGAGTCTTTGCAGCATGTGGCCGCCATGAACCAGACAGAAGTGCGTCAGTTGCGGATGGAACTGACGAATGCGGTGAAGAATCACCACATCACCGAGATCATGATGAGCGAGTATGGGGCCATGGCGATGGGTGCTCGATACATGGAGAACAAGGGCTATCACGACAGCGAGATGCATGCCTACGCTCTGAGGCGCTGGGAGAATGTGACAGAGGTGCAGGCGCTGGATCAAGTGTTGGAGGAGTGTCGGGACTCTCCAATGAGGGGTCAAGACAGGGCCAAGAATCCAAGAACCAGCCAGACCAGTTGATCTCTGAAGATGAGGTGGAAGAGAATGCATTCCCTGGAGAAGCCCAGGGCACATGGATGAAGTTAGAAGGTGCGTCGATGGCAGAAAGGGTGGCGTCTTTGAGACAGACTCCGCATTTTGCTGTGAGCCGTGTGTGCGTCAAGGATGGCGCGAACTTCTATGAGATTGAGAATGACAATGACCTTGAGTATGAGCCGGAATGTTATGTTCTTTTTCAGCAGACTGCCAGGGCAGTCATGGAGGATACATGTCCGGAGGAGAGAGAGGTCTCCATGGCAAAAAGTCTCAAGACCAAGTTGAGAAAGGCTTTGAAGGATGTGGCTTCAGCATGTTTCTCTGTGGACGTGAGTGAGATATACAGCCCTCCCCGTGTCACGACGGAGGCCAAGCGGCAGCACTTGAAAGCTGGAGGCGCTTACGACCTCAAAACCGGCTACAACCTCAGAATGACCAAAGACTTGCAACGCATGTGGAATGAGCTTCATGCTGATGACCCAGAACTCTTGCTGGGGAGTCCTCCTTGTACACCTTTTTCGCCGCTTCAGGAGCTGAACTTTCCGAAGATGGACTTTGAGAAGGCAGTGACGCTTGTTGGAGAAGGTTTGGAGCATGTGGTCACAACATGTGCGGCGGCCAAATGGCAGTACAAGAGAGGCGAAATCTTTGTTTTGGAACACCCACTTCGTTCCAAAGCATGGGAGGAAGAATGCATGCTGGAGTTGATGGGCTTACCAGAAGTTCATGTCTGCGTGGTGGATCAGTGCGCATATGGGCTTCGAGTAGGTGAGAAGTTGAACAAAAAGCCAACTTGCTTCATCACAAATAGTCCTCGCATTGCACAAGAGCTGAGACGCAGATGTTCAGGAGATCACGAGCATGATCACCTGCTTGGAGGCAAAGCCGCTGCTGCGGCGATCTACCCACCAGGGCTGTGTAAGGCCATTGTACGTGGTCTGAAACGACATCTCCGTCACCAAAGGGGCCCTTGTCGAGGAGTTCCATGTGAGGCACTAGCAGTTTTGGCGACAGAGGTGCTTCCACCCCAAGATGCTGACGCCCTTGAGGACGTCTTCCCAGAGGAGATTCAAGAACCTAGAGAAAGCCAGAAGGAGAAGCCAAGAGCGGCTGTAGAAGTCTCCAGTGAGGACAAAGCAAAAGTCATGAAAATGCACGTGAACCTGGGCCATCCTGCAAGAGACAGCTTTATCAGATTTCTGCGAGCGGGCAGGATTCGTGAGGAGGTGGTGCGTTGGGTCATCAGAGAGTTTCGTTGCGAGAAATGCATTGGAAGAGCACTTCCCAAAGCACCGAGGCCAGCTGTGGTGCCTAAGTGCTACAAGCCTGGAGTTGCGGTGGGGTTGGACTTGTTTTACATACCAGACTTGATCAACAAGAGGTCATACCCCATTCTCAACATCCTTGATCTGGGCACCAACTACCAAATGATAGAGCTGTTGGACAACAAAGAGCCAAGCTCATTGTGGAGGGCCTTTTGGAGAGCGTGGTGCAGAACTTTTGGTATGCCGCAGTATATCTCTGTGGACGAGGGTTTGGAGTTCAGAGGAGACTTCACCCAGTGGTGCGCCGGGTTTGGCACAGTGGTTTTCCGAGCAGCAGGAAGAGCTCCATGGCAACAAGGTAAAGTGGAAAGACATGGAGGTTTGATGAAGGATATGATCGCGAAAGCTCGAGAGTCGGCTGCTCTTGAGTCTCGTGAAGAACTACGTCTTTTGCTGCAAGAGTGCGAGTGTGCCAAAAACAGATTTATGAACCGGTCTGGGTACAGTCCGGTGCAGCGGCAGGTGGGCCAATGGCCTCGTTTGCCTGGATCGCTGATGAGTGATGAAGCTCTAGACCCTGCACTTCAGAGCCAGAATACCACAGATGACTTCGACAGGCTTTTAGCCCTTCGAAAGATAGCCCAAGAAGCTTTCGTGAAGATGGCAAGTCAGGAGGCGGCAGCCAAGTCTTTGAGGGCGAGGCCGAGGTTGCAGCGTATGTTCAAAGCAGGTGAAGTGGTTTATGTTTTCAGGGCCTTGCGCAAAAAGAAGTTGGTCCATGGAGAGGCAAAGGCTTCAAGAGGAGCAGGTGGAGGCAGGAAAGCAACATGGGTCGGTCCAGGCCATGTACTAGCCATGGAAGGTTCAGTGGTTTGGGTCAATATGTTCGGTGAGCTGTGGAGAGCGTCAGTGGAGCAGACCAGAGAAGCCACTACGAGCGAGCGCTTGGGAGTTGAGATGGTGGCAGAGGACTTCAGTGAGATGCAGGAGCGTCTGAAGAGAAGTGCTCATCGTTCAGGCTATCGAGACGTCACAGGTGATCTTCCAGAGGAAGAAGAACCAGAGGTAGATGACGTTGAAAAAGAAGGCATTGAGCGAGGCAGACCCAGAGTGCGTTTTGAGGAAGAAGAATATGAGCCTGGCACACCTTTGCCAGAAACTCCGGATGAGGAGCTTCAGTTGAGGAGCCGCAGAATGTCAGATGCCACAGTGCCAGAACCAGACTGCGAACAGGTGTCCGCAGTCAACACACCTAGACCTGCAGGAGCTCAACCTGATTCTCTCACCTTTCCCAATGCTCAGGACGTACAACAAGAGCTGGATCAGTTGGATGAGACTGCTCAAGCTGTGGCACAAGAGGCCATGACACAATCAGTCATGCAAAACAACGTCCTAGATGGGCTTCCTGAGAACTATGGTGCAGCGAGAGGAAGTGTGGCCCGACGTTGGGAGCGGAGACATGATAGGCCATATTTTTCAGAAGTCTTTTTGATGACAGAGGATGAGAAGGTTGAACCAGCAGGCCCAGATCCAACACAGGATTACTGGGTGTATGATGAGCATCGCCATGTTCTTCAAAGGCATCATGTGCAGTGGAGAAAAGCCCTCTTCAATCCCTCACAGGTTGAAGAAAGACCAGTTCCTTTGAGGGCTTTGAAACAACAGAGGATCACCAAACGTATGACTGCAAAGGGCGTAGAGGAGGTCAAAGATGTTTGTTCGTTGTTTTCGAAGCGAGAGGAGCGTTTTGAGTGGTGGAAAGGCATTACAGAGTTTGAGGTAGATGCCCACTACCTGAATCAAGGTCCAAAGGCAGCAGGCAAAAAGAGAGGCGAAGGAGAGGTGTTTGCACATGAAATCCCGGAAGAAGAGTGGCCAGCATGGAAAGAACAAGACCTTGAGGAGTTCAACAAGATCGTCAAAAGCGGCGCTCTCAAGGTGCTCAGTTTGGAGGAGTCAGAGAAGGTACGTCAGGAGTTGAAAGAAACCGGGAAGCTTGACAGAATTTTGCCAAGTAGGATGGTCAGAAGATACAAACCAGGAGATGCTCCAGGGTTGCCCAGAACGAGAAAGTCAAGGTTTTGCATCAGAGGAGATAAAGATCCAGATGCCATTTACCTGTCACGTTTTGCACCCACGGTGACTACATCCAACTTGCAGATTCTTTTTCAAGCGGCGGTGAACAAGGGCTTCCGCGGTGTAGTGGGAGATCTCAAGTCAGCTTTCACTCAAAGCCTTCCACTTTTTCGAGCTGGAGGAAAGCTTTACTGCAAGTCGTGCAATGGCTCGATGCCGGGTCTTCAAGAAGGTCAGTTGGCTGAGATTGTTTTGGGATGCTACGGATTGTGTGATGCGCCGATGCACTGGCGCAAAACTTTGGTGTCCTTCTTGACCCAGACTCTTGGCTACAAGCAATCAGCGCTTGATCCTTGCACTTTCCTACTTCATGGTCCCAAAGGAGGCTCTAAAGTATGTTATGGCGTAGACGCAGAAGAACATGTTTTGCATGGTATGGTGGCTGTGGAGATCGATGATCTTTTGATGTTTGGCGACAGTGTCCATGAAGAAAAGATGAAAGAGCTTCAGCAAAAGTTCACCTTTGGGAAGATTGAACCACTTGATGAGCGAGGAGTGAACTTTAATGGTCGCCGCCTGAGACAAGTTGGCGACACAATCCTTGTCGACATGAAGGCCTTTGTGGAAGAGCGATTGGAGACAGTGGAGCTTGGAAAAGAACGTCAAAAATGTAAAAGAGAGAAGCTGACTGATGATGAAGTTAGCTTAGTGAGAAAGGCGTGTGGTTCATTGAACTGGGCAGGGCGTGAAGGCCGTCCAGATGCAGCTGCTGCAGCATCTATGTTCTCCTCTACCATGTTGGAGATGACCGTGGAGGATGTAGCTGAATTGAACCGAGTGATCCTTCGCATTAAGGAGACCTCAGAGATGTCCCTGCAGATCCAAGCAATTGATGAAGCTCGCCTTCGATGGGGCGTTGTCACAGATGCCTCGTATGCCAACGCTCGTGGAGGAAAAACTCAGGGAGGTCATCTTCTTTTGGCCTTTGACCAGGACATGCTGAGTGGCAAGTTGGCAAAATGCAATCTGCTCCATTGGAAGAGCGGCAAGTTGCCCAGGACGGTAAACAGCACTTTGGCAGCCGAAACTCAATCTTTGGCAAGGGGCATTGGTGATCTACTTTGGATGATCGTCATGTATGCAGAGGTGGTCGATCCGAGCTTTGATCTTCGCAATTGGCGGAGGCATGTCAACAAGCTGGGCTATACAGCCTTCACCAAAAATGAAGATGGAGATGAGATGGCCGGAGCGGTAGCAGTGGTGGATGCGAAATCTCTGTTTGACGTTTTGGCCAACGAGACGAATGGTGGAAGTGACCGACGCACGGCACTTGACGTGCAAATGCTGAGAGAAGAATTAGCAGAGCTTCACGGAAAAATTTGATGGATAGACCATATGCACATGCCAGCCGACTGTTTGACGAAGAAACGCGGTAGAGTAGATCAACTGGTGTCCATGTTGCAAACCGGATTGTTTGGAATCACTGCTGAAGCTGTTACTTTGGGTTGTCGTTTGAATGACAGAGAGCAACATGGATATAACCGGCGATAGGCTTTGGTCAAAAACAATTTCTTTGGAGCTGTGAAACGGACAGCTGTGTTGACCAAAGCGTTTCCATTCATGAGCGCGTAGCCATTCACCTTTATTTACTTCTCAGCCTTTTTAGGCACAGATGACAGGCCAGGTGAGCCTCGCGGTCCCCGCAAAATCGCTGCGTGCATCTTGAGCTGCCATTGGGACTTGTTCTCACAGCGATATACGATACGTTCACCGATACTCGATACGTTAGATAATGTTAGATATGTTTACCACTGTTCACCCATACTGATAGTCGTTGCAAGATGACACCAGTGTCTACTGAAACATTCCTGAAACAATATTATATAAGGAAAAACTGTGAAACGGAGTGTCTCAAAAAAGGCTTCATTTGTGGCCTCTGTTTGTTTGTCACACTTGTCAGAATGCAGCTGGGTTAGATGACTGGCAAAACGCAGCTTCTTGTTTCACCAGTTTTGGTCAGTCAGCTGAGTCAGCTGTGTTTCTTCATGTTTATTTGTGACCTACGCATCAAATTCGAAAAATGGTTCTTCACACAGAATTCGAAGACTTTAAAGGGGTGAGGCCTCCAACACGATATGAGGTCCTAGATCGGCACAAACTGCCTATCTTACTCTGAAAACTGTACTGTTTTTTCGCCCACGTGTTCTTGTGAGGCTTTACTCCGCAACATCTGCGAATATCTGCGAAATTTTCCGAAATAGGTATATATAATACTTCAGTATATATTCTGCACCGTTGCGAACTAGTTTACTGACTGTCTAGTCCCGTTTGCATAACTGGCACTGGTCGGACATTTGTGCCATTCTTTCATGGAAGAGTTTGGTGTTGTATACCGATTCTATCTGAAGGAGTGACGCCTTGTTTGGTTCTTGCTTCCGGCATTCAACTTACCCTGCAAGTGGCTTTTTGATGCTTTTTGCATACGGCAACCAATACAGCGTAGCTTTCCTGCAGGCATGGCAGCGACGTCAGCCGCGGTTGCCTCAGCTATGTCGCATCATGGATTTTTTGCCACATACTGTATTCATGACCTATGTTGAACGGATTGGTGGTCCAGCAGTTTGACCACTAATGTAATTACTATCGACATCAATCCAATATCAACTATCAGCCTGATACTATCAGCTATAATTCGACTGCATGTGGACCACATCATTTGGAATCAGCGACCAAACCTTCACAAATTAATTAATTACACAAATTGCAATGGATATTTGTGCGTGGCTATAGATTCTATGACAAGAGCAACATAGAAAGTTTGCCGAACCACCCATGGAGACATTACAAGTGATGTTGCAAGCCCCACCATGTTACCAGCCCTTACATATTCGTCGGATTCAGGGTGCACCTACGCCTTCGCCAAATGCTCCTGGCTCGGGCCCAAAAACGGAAGTGCCATGAATTGCTGGAATTTTCATGAATTTTCAAGGCCATCAGGCTGCAGGTTTTGACAGAATTTCGGAAACTTGGGGATTTGATGGCCTTTCGATGGCCTTTCGATGGCCTTTGATGGCCTTTGATGTCTTTGATGGCCCTTGGCTCGCGTGACACAGTTGGCATCATAGAGTCGTTGTTTCAACCGCCGCTTCAGGCCCTACAAGGCCAAGCTCCGAGGCATTGAACTCTGCAGGGGGCCCTTATTTATGCTGCCAGAATCTGCCAGTAAGCCAGAAAGATGCTGAAAGCTTGAACAGATTATCCAGATTATACATGATTATACATGATTATAGAGCTTTGAATATCTTTGACAAAGTCAATGTGCCAAGATGCCATCATTGACATTGCTGGACATGTCATTTTCATTAATTTTCTGTGGATTGCTCCACGTACCTCTGACAAGGCTACTTCTGGACCTCGTCGGAGTCTAAATTCCTGTGGCCAAATAGACACTCCTTGTTGTGCGGATACTGTTAATGTCAAACTTAGCATCATACACATACCAACATGCTGTAGCTCTGGTGGATTTCTCTCTCTCTCTCTCTCGCTCTTTGTGTGTGTGCGCGTGTGTGTGTGTGTGTGTCTGTTGCATTGCGTTGCGTTGAATTGTCACAAGAGACATGTTTTTTCAGACTGGAGGTATCTTTAGGCTTTGATTTCTATGATAAGAATGGCATTCTGACTCTCGAAGGGTTTGGGATTATTGGGATTTTCGTTGGCCAAGCTGAATGAAGGTCCTGGTGCAGGGAAGAAATGGAGTGAGGCAGAGATTGCAAGGGGTTGCAAGATTTCTGGGCTCAATATGGGCTCAATATGGATCAATCGTGAATACGTTGCTACGCTGTTTGTTGTGACTCTTTCTTCGCTTCCGCGGTATCCGTCGTAGAGTTTCAGCGGGAAGTCTCTGTGGTTGAATGAACACCCGCCTGTTGTAGGTGTGCGAGCAAGTGCAGAAGCCAGATGGATCTGTGAGGATTTCTGGGTTGGTGCAGAGACTGGACATATCTGGACATGTTCCCTTTAGGGCTGGTTCGATCAGTTGTCCAGCTTTTTGGAAGCCAGCAGCATTATAATATATTATAATCATCAAGAGGCTGAGTGCTCCAATCTCAACATGTCATCCCACATTGTCTAGCCAACTTTAAGCAAAAAGGCAGGTCAATCTAGTGAGTCAAGATTAATCAAGCGTGAATATGCGTGAATATGGCATGATATTGATATAGTAAACATTTCCATGTTTGATCATTTTCGAAGATTTCGAATGTAAGTAAGGGATTTTTGTTCCTGCGTCGGAAAGACAAAAATACTTAGGATCTTAGGTCTGTCATGGTCTGTCCCTGTGCCTCAGATTGCCTCAGGACGTCACCACCCTTCAAGAGTGCGGCCACGTCCACGGGCGTGTCCCCACCGCGGCTGAGACATCCCACAGGCGCTGAAGGGGTACTGGTAAGATATCGTAAGATGATCATGATGTTTACATAATTTGGATCATCTTAACATATTCTTAACATATTCTTAACATTTAAGATGGTTTAGGATGATTTGAGACCAATTATTTAAGATGAAAAATTAGATCCAAGCGGAGGACTTGATGGAATGAGCCATCCTATTCCGACCTTTGCACTTGGTTTCTTGATGTTCCTGTATTTTTTGGTGTTCTACAGAACTGGACAGGTTACCTTTGGGTGCCAGTTCCACGAAACTTCCAACTGTAGCAGCTGGTGTCAACCCACAAGCACCAAGATTCTCCCGGAACTCAGAACATGTCAGAACTATGGTACATGTTCATTCCTTATGGTGATCCTTGGTGAAAGAATCAGCTTTGGAATGCCATCAGATTGTCAGATGTTGTTCCTGCAGTAGCTTGGCTTCCGCTTCGGTTCGAGAATATTCGAGAATGAGGTACCAATGCAACAGAAATGCAACAAATATCCAGATATCACACCATCCAATTTTAAAAGGCCGAAGAATTCCAAGCCATCGGGAATAAGAGATCAAGAGATTTTGAGTTTTTTCCACGTCTGGCTGGAATGATTTGCTGAGACCTATACCAACTGCACCGGTATGCACCGGTCAGGTTGGTGCCGCCGCCCAAGCCGGGGGCGGACCAGTCTATGCAGTGGCATCCCTCCGAAGGCGAACAAAAACTGGTGCAACATGCACAATAGTGCACAGTAATCTTATGACGTTTACAAACATATTCTACACGATAATGAGAAATAATAAGAATAATCACCTTTGTCATTGATTCTTATGATGTGAGCCAAGCAAACGGTAGATGTTTTGTTGGTCATGTTACAAAGTGTTTGTGGTCATGTAGCGGTGATGTTGCGGGAAACTGAACCTCATTCCATGACAATCTATATCAACTTGTTGCTTTTGCTTTGACGGTGGTTTTGTGTCCATCAGCAAGCCCGGAGTCAAATGGTGATTTGTATCAACCATGATGTTTTGGTACCAAATACCAACAAATACCAACAAAGTCTTGGAGATTTAGATGATATATGTAGCTATAGAGACATTTATAGATCATGATAATTCAAAATACTCGTACCAAGTCGATATGTCTGCTTTCATCCACAGGATCCATCGCGAGCGGGCTCCTCTCGTGGTGCATCCTCAGGAGTGGGAGATCACGTGGCAGACATTCATATAAAATAGCACAGAACAGTAAAGCTTTAGTAGCTTAGGATCACTGCATTAGCCGGTTTGGCATTAAGCACGGCTCTCTCTCACAGAAATTATTTGAACTTATAGTGTTTCTGGAATGGGTCAGGCGGTTCGAGCCTGTTGCTTGATCTTAGAGAAAGAAATCATTGCCGCCAGCAGGAAAATCCTCTCGGTCATCCTCTCGAGACATTGCGCGGGATGGTGCATCACTGAGCAGGACATGATAACATGATCATGATACAGATTGATACAGCCAGAGCCAGGCAAGGTCCCAAGGTGATCCATCAATTTATGGAGGATCAGGACTCGGATGAAAAACTCTCAAATCTTGGCAACAGGGGAATTGCCAGGGGTATAGATAAGACTTGAATATACAGCTTTGATGATTGAGCACAGTGCCAGACAGTGCCTGAGGTGATATCTCTTCCCGGTGTTCATCAGGTTGCCATAGCCTGAGTTTGCCAGCACAGGTGCGGACCTGGTTTGGCCAATGAACCTGCTATTTGAATATATTTGAATATCATGAATGGCAGATAGACCTGTACTATCTCATACTCAGCAAGAAAGCTGAAGTGGCAAGAAACAACACCAGAAACTTGTCGGTTGAGCAAGGCCAAACTGTGTTTTTAATACTTTTTAAATACATTCTGTATGTTTTTGTGCTGAGGTTGGGAAACATCAACCAACTCTTCAGAGCCTGTCACCGACATCATTCCGCCCGGATCTTGGCCTCACTTCATCGTGGCGATTTTATCGTGGAGGTTTTTGAGGCAAGTCTTCCTATGCAGCTGCTTGTGTATCTTGTGTCATTGTCGTCACGGTGTTTTGATTTGCGTTATTTTGTGTTGATTAGTTAAGATAGGTCTTAGTAGATATTGATAGATCGCAAAAGTGCGTACGTACATGATATAAAACCCAATATACCCAATCCTACAAGATCCTACAACTTTGGAAGATGTTGCAAATTTCAATCTTTGGTGGCTCAAATTGGCTAATTGGCTTCGAACCCAGGTCTCCAATGGAATCGAAGGGCCTTTTGATGCCAGACCCGATCAGGACCGGCCTGAATGAAAGTTGCTGATCTTTGAAGGCAGGAAACCCATGTAGAAGAAGATAAAAAGTACGCAATGGCAAAAATATTTAAACACAGGTTGTTGATTATCATATATTTTACATATATTTTACATTTACTGCAAGTCGATATCCGGGTATATTTATGGTCCACTTAATGTACTTGTTTACAATCCTGGCAGCTTCTTTTCAGCAAAGTCATCCTCTCACAGGCAACAGCTTGTTTTATTTTTCCCCACCTGCCAGGTGAGGGTTGTTAGATTTTATGTCAGTTGCCTCCTCCTGCCTCCTCCTGACTCCTGCCTCGTCCTCCTCCTCCTCTCCTCCTCGTCCTCCTCGTCCTCCTTGTCATCCTTGTCGTCCTTGTCGTCCTCGTCGTCCTCGTCGTCCTCGTCGTCCTCGTCGTCCTCGTCCAACTGCGACCCGCGATCCACAGTGTTCTCTGCCGGACCTCAACCACGACCATCCACGCCCACTTTTCCCTGCCGGACCTCAACCACGACCAGCCACGCCCAGTGTTCCCTGCCGGACCTCAACCACGACCAGCCACGCCCAGTGTTCCCTGCCGGACCTCAACCACGACCATCCACGCCCAGCGTTCCCTGCCGGACCTCAACCGCGAGGATCCACGCCAAGTGTTCCCTGCCGGACCTCATGTAGGAAGATAAAATGTCAGATAGAGTGCCAGAAGATTTGCCAGGTAGAATGCCAGAAAATATGCCAGAAGATATGCCAGATAGATATGCCAGAAGATATTCCAGAAGATATGCCAGATAGAATGCCAGACCAGAAGATATGTCAGAATATATGCCAGAAGATATGTCAGATAGAATGCCAGAAGATATGTCAGAATATATGCCAGAAGATATGCCAGATAGAATGCCAGATAATATGCCAGAAGATATGCCAGATAGAATGCCAGATAGGATGCCAGAAGATTTGCCAGATAGAATGCCAGAAAATATGCCAGAAGATATGCCAGATAGATATGCCAGAAGAAATGCCAGAAGATATGCCAGATAGAATGCCAGAAGATATGTCAGAATATATGCCAGAAAGATATGCCAGATAGAATGCCAGATAGAATGCCAGAAGATATGTCAGATAGAATGCCAGAAGATATGCCAGATAGAATGCCAGAAGATTTGCCAGATAGAATGCCAGAAGATATGCCAGAAGATATGCCAGATAGAATGCCAAATAGAATGTCAGAAGATAGGTCAGATAGAATGCCAGAAGATATGCCAGAAGATATGCCAGATAGAATGCCAAATAGAATGTCAGAAGATATGTCAGATAGAATGCCAGAAGATGTGCCAGTAAGAACATGTATAAATGTCATGGTGGGGATCACACGAAGTAAAGTATTTTTTTGGAGGCAGATAATTTTGATCAACGACCTCCTCTCATGATCTCATATGTTTAAATATGTTTAAATCATCTCAATGCATGACATCTAATAGGTATCCCCTGTGATCTTAAATCATGTTAAATCATCTCATCCAATGCATGACATCTAATAATCTAATAGGTATCCCCAAAGGGGTAACCCTTCCAGCATCGCCAGGACGGGTATCATCCCACCAGCATTGCTGGCAGATGAGCCCGGTCCTGATGCCAAAGTTCTCAGCTTAGCCCGGCCTCGGTGGCCAACATTTGGCTCGATATGGTCAGATTTGTTGATGCTGGCTGATGTTTGGTGATTCAGAAGGCACCTTTTTGATCCTTTTTGCAGATCAGCAATGTAAGGAATCATTTTTCTGATCATTTAAATATTGTAAGATATTGCAAGTATGATTGGGTAGGTTTGAGTGCCAGCTGTTTTGCTGGAGAATTTGGTATCGCGGTTTGAAGTCAAGATGTTCATTGCCTTCAATGATCTCCAGCCGTTGGCCCAGAAGTCAGCATGCAACACAGGTTGAACATGCTGAGCAGTCGTGCGGCTACAAGGCCAGTATGTGTCTACTGTGTAGGATTTTGTGTTGTCCGAGAAGGATTTAGTATAAAGGCGCGCAATTTTTTGTAAAAGTTCTATTCCTTGTGGGAAATCGAGTCCGGGACAATCGATATCTTGGCAAGGGTACTGTAAAGTATTCAACAGGCCATAATACCCTGGTTTTGTATGGTTTTTCCTGTATCATGTCCTGGACATTTAGCTAGCAGCCGAATCCACACCTAAAATTGGAGGATTCGGTTTCTAATGTTAGCACCGTCACCTAGCGCTGACTTCCAGCATCGGGCAGTTCTCCAGCCTCAGATCCTGGCGATAGGCAGCCGATTGTGAGACAACAGCGGAATCGATGCCTGATACCAGAGGCTGGATGCAGTCAACGTTGATTGATAATTAGTGTGCATTATGCAATGTGTATATAATTAGTGTTAATTGATAATACTGTATTATAGTTATATACAATATCATGTATTCTAGTTGATCCTTGTAACTTTTGACTCATGACCTGCAAGAAACCCAAACACTCCACTTGTTCCTAGTTTCTCAATGGGTAGCGTGCTTATTCGAGTCATTTCCGCTGTTGATGGAGAGTGAATCCGAACAGCGAGCACCAGGACTTAAACAACGTCAAGACATCTTGGAATCTGTTTGCCGTTGAAGCAGTGAAGCACATTAAAAATCTTTAAAAATCATTTAAACTAAACATATTATGATTATTATTATTTATTATTATTATATATATATATTATTGACATCATATTGAAACCCAAATGTCCTATACTTTCCTCGAGTGACGTTACGTCAATGCTGAGCATCTCACCGTGGGTTACTCCGGTGGCAACTCCGAGCTGCGCAGGCGTTGATGTGTCTGTGGGCATGCCACTGAGATGGGATCCCTTTGGACGAGATGGTGTTCGTCGCCAAGAAGTCAAGGGCGACTGGTGCGCCCTGAGGGAATTCACTAAATGTTGTTTTTTCAGGTTTTTTCTGCTGATTTTAAGCATGTTTGAACTGGGATGTTCTGTGAATGCTTGTACGATTTGATGACCCGAAGCCTAGAAAGCAATGAGTGAATATGATTGATCTAGGAAAAATCAGACTGACATGATGACTTCATGATGAGAAAAGTACCAATGTTACAGCTGCATACTCGTACCCACCTGCCCCATGTTTTTACTCTGCAGGGCATATTCTGGGTGGTGTATAGCAGTCAGAGCTGCAACAGGACCCCAGATTCGCTGGCCAAGTATCTGAAGGTGGGATGATGAGCTTTGCTTTCGCCATTTATTGGTTTCAGAAGTATTTCAGAAGTGGATACTTCTCGAACATCTTACTCCGTGATCGTAAGCGGCCATTGCTGCTTTGGAGCCCGATGGACTCCTTGGCAGAAAGACTTGTTTGCTGTTTGGTTTGGTGTGGCAGTATGATTGCAAACATGATCGATGACCAAAGGTGTTGGGAGGGCACCACCGGGGGCCAGGGAGTTGCAGTACAAATTGACAACAACCTCAATCACGGCCGCTTGTGGAGATCTTAGCGACTGCGAGTCACCACGGGTGGCATACATTGGCTATGACATAGAAACGGCCATAGAAACTGATTTGTGCACTGCAAATCCGAACTTTGTGACCGGGTATGAGATAACGGAACCCAAACAGACCAATGACTTTCGGATCACAGGCTTTGATTTGAAGCCATATTCTTGAATATTGTCTATGACCGGAGCCGCACAACTCCACGATTTGGACGTGGATACAAGATGATACAAGTACACAAGGCCTATTGCAATGCAAGAAGTCGCAGATAAAACGCATTTCGACTCATAACCAGACTTGATTCTACAATGTTGCGTACAACATTCTGCTTGAATCCTCTTATCCAAACTTGCTCAAATGCTTAGATAAGTTGTTGATAGTTGTTGCATCTTGAATTTGTGGGTGAAATTCCCAAGGTGTTCCAATACACTCATACCCGTCATACGTACCAACTGTATATGGATTCCATGGATCGGCCAAGGCCTACTGCTGAGCGGCTAGATGCCTTCGTCTCGCGATTAGCTCCTTGGATCTGGCAGAATTTTGGATTTCCATGGGAATATGATGGATATGGATATGGATGGATATGGTATGATATATGGTTCCATTCACATCCAAGTGTTGTCAACTAGATATATTTAACGTTATTGAACCATTGATGTTTTTCTCAGATATTGGATATGAACAATGAATATCAACGAATCGTGTTCATGTATTAATCAGATGGAATTATAATCCTCTTGATGAGATTGAATGGATGAATATTAATATCATTCAACCTCTTGTTTTTTTGGATTGATAATTTGATTGCAGTGGCTGTTACATGCTGTTACTGTAATGTGTGTCCTTTTGAAATCCCAATCTGTTTCATGAGTTTGAAAGGAGCAGAAGTGCGGCAGCTTAAAATACAAGTATAAGATCAAGCTCTTGACTAAATATGTTACAAATGTTACAAACGTATATAAAACGCAGCTTCGGTTTGTCATAGCCATCTTGGACGTACACAGTACTGGATCAGAAACGTGACAATAACAACTTCGCTGAGATCTGAACGTGCTCTGACCTTGACCCAGGTGCTGAATTCACAGCGGCAGCTGAAACATGCACCCAAAAAGGTGGGCCAGCTGCACATTGGGGACTTGTCACATTTTTTGACGAAAAATCTGCTGCCATCTGCCGCCTTTGCATCCCTGGCCAGGTCCGGCACAGGCTACAAGCAACGTTTGCATTACGCTTCCAGACGTTCTGGAACTTCTCCCGGAATGAGAAGGTGAGGTGAAAAGCTGGAGTTGTCAAGTTCTACACACGATCAGTGGGCAGCAAGGGGACTTCATCCCATTAAGAACTACATATAAATGGGCTAACGCCCTGGTGCCGCCGACCCCTTTTCAAGGGTGGAGGAAGAAGTGCAACCCTGGAACAGCAAAGGCTGACGGCCAGAGGGCTTGGTGGCAGCTGAGGCTTGAATGCCCCAACAACAGAGCGCTATGTGCAGGCAAAGGGCAGGCTGCAATGCTGGAACAGCAAAAGCTGACGGCCAGAGGGCTTGGTGGAAGCTGCCGCGAGGGAATTGGAGGGTTGTAAGCATTGAAAGGGCTTTAAGCGTTTGAAGCCTGGCAAATGGCAGGCTTGAATGCCTTAACAAGAGAGGGCTATGTGCAGGCAAATGCAGCAAAGGCTGACGGCCAGAGGGCTTGGTGGAAGCTGCCGCGAGGGAATTGGAAGGCTTTAAGCTTTTTAAGGGTTTGTGGCAAACGGCAGGCTTGAATGCCCTAACACGAGAGGGCTATGTGCAGGCAAATGCAGCAAAGGCTGACGGCCAGAGGGCTTGGTGGAAGCTGCCGCGAGGGAATTGGATGGTTTTAAGCGTTTTAAGGGTTTTAAGGGTTTTAAGGGTTTGAAGCCTGGCAAACGGCAGGCTTGAATGCCCTAACAAGAGAGGGCTATGTGCAGTCAAAGGGCAGGCTGCAATGCTGGAACGCTGAGGGCCAGGAGCTTGGTGGAAGCTGCCGCGAGGGATGTCAACCCTGGAACAGCAAAGGCTGACAGCCAGAGGGCTTGGTGGCAGCTGAGGCTTGAATGCCCCAACAACAGAGCGCTATGTGCAGGCAAAGGGCAGGCTGCAATGCTGGAACAGCAAGAGCTGACGGCCAGAGGAGGCTGACGGCCAGAGGGCTTGGTGGCAGCTGCCGCGAGGGAATTGGAGGGTTTTAAGCGTTTTAAGGGTTTGAAGCCTGGCAAACGGCAGGCTTGAATGCCCTAACAAGAGAGGGCTATGTGCAGGCAAATGCAGCAAAGGCTGACGGCCAGAGGGCTTGGTGGAAGCTGCCGCGAGGGAATTGGAGGGTTGTAAGCGTTTTAAGCGTTTTAAGGGTTTGAAGCGTGGCAAACGGCAGGCTTGAATGCCCTAACAAGAGAGGGCTATGTGCAGGCAAATGCAGCAAAGGCTGACGGCCAGAGGGCTTGGTGCAAGCTGCCGCGAGGGATGTGCAGCCAGAGGGCTTGGTGGCAGCTGAGGCTTGAATGCCCCAACAACAGAGCGCTATGTGCAGGCAAAGGGCAGGCTGCAATGCTGGAACAGCAAAAGCTGACGGCCAGAGGGCTTGGTGGAAGCTGCCGCGAGGGAATTGGAGGGTTGTAAGCATTGAAAGGGTTTTAAGCGTTTGAAGCCTGGCAAATGGCAGGCTTGAATGCCTTAACAAGAGAGGGCTATGTGCAGGCAAATGCAGCAAAGGCTGACGGCCAGAGGGCTTGGTGGAAGCTGCCGCGAGGGAATTGGAGGGCTTTAAGCTTTTTAAGGGTTTGTGGCAAACGGCAGGCTTGAATGCCCTAACAAGAGAGGGCTATGTGCAGGCAAATGCAGCAAAGGCTGACGGCCAGAGGGCTTGGTGGAAGCTGCCGCGAGGGAATTGGAGGGTTTTAAAGCGTTTTAAGGGTTTTAAGCGTTTGAAGCCTGGCAAACGGCAGGCTTGAATGCCTTAACAAAAGAGGGCTATGTGCAGGCAAATGCAGCAAAGGCTGACGGCCAGAGGGCTTGGTGGAAGCTGCCGCGAGGGAATTGGAGGGCTTTAAGCTTTTTAAGGGTTTGTGGCAAACGGCAGGCTTGAATGCCCTAACACGAGAGGGCTATGTGCAGGCAAATGCAGCAAAGGCTGACGGCCAGAGGGCTTGGTGGAAGCTGCCGCGAGGGAATTGGATGGTTTTAAGCGTTTTAAGGGTTTTAAGGGTTTTAAGGGTTTGAAGCCTGGCAAACGGCAGGCTTGAATGCCCTAACAAGAGAGGGCTATGTGCAGTCAAAGGGCAGGCTGCAATGCTGGAACGCTGAGGGCCAGGAGCTTGGTGGAAGCTGCCGCGAGGGATGTCAACCCTGGAACAGCAAAGGCTGACAGCCAGAGGGCTTGGTGGCAGCTGAGGCTTGAATGCCCCAACAACAGAGCGCTATGTGCAGGCAAAGGGCAGGCTGCAATGCTGGAACAGCAAGAGCTGACGGCCAGAGGAGGCTGACGGCCAGAGGGCTTGGTGGCAGCTGCCGCGAGGGAATTGGAGGGTTTTAAGCGTTTTAAGGGTTTGAAGCCTGGCAAACGGCAGGCTTGAATGCCCTAACAAGAGAGGGCTATGTGCAGGCAAATGCAGCAAAGGCTGACGGCCAGAGGGCTTGGTGGAAGCTGCCGCGAGGGAATTGGAGGGTTGTAAGCGTTTTAAGCGTTTTAAGGGTTTGAAGCGTGGCAAACGGCAGGCTTGAATGCCCTAACAAGAGAGGGCTATGTGCAGGCAAATGCAGCAAAGGCTGACGGCCAGAGGGCTTGGTGGAAGCTGCCGCGAGGGAATTGGAGGGTTTTAAGCATTTTAAGCCTTTTAAGGGTTTGAAGTTTGAAGCCTGGCAAACGGCAGGCTTGAATGCCCTAACAAGAGAGGGCTATGTGCAGGCAAAGGGCAGGCTGCAATGCTGGAACGCTGAGGGCCAGGAGCTTGGTGCAAGCTGCCGCGAGGGATGTGCAGCCAAAGGGCAGGCTGCAACCCTGGAACAGCAAAGGCTGACGGCCAGAGGGCTTGGTGGCAGCTGAGGCTTGAATGCCCCAACAACAGAGCGCTATGTGCAGGCAAAGGGCAGGCTGCAATGCTGGAACAGCAAAAGCTGACGGCCAGAGGGCTTGGTGGAAGCTGCCGCGAGGGAATCGGAGGGTTGTAAGCATTGAAAGGGTTTTAAGCGGTTGAAGCCTGGCAAATGGCAGGCTTGAATGCCTTAACAAGAGAGGGCTATGTGCAGGCAAATGCAGCAAAGGCTGACGGCCAGAGGGCTTGGTGGAAGCTGCCGCGAGGGAATTGGAGGGCTTTAAGCTTTTTAAGGGCTTGTGGCAAACGGCAGGCTTGAATGCCCTAACAAGAGAGGGCTATGTGCAGGCAAATGCAGCAAAGGCTGACGGCCAGAGGGCTTGGTGGAAGCTGCCGCGAGGGAATTGGAGGGTTTTAAGCGTTTTAAGGGCTTTAAGCGTTTGAAGCCTGGCAAACGGCAGGCTTGAATGCCTTAACAAAAGAGGGCTATGTGCAGGCAAATGCCGCAAAGGCTGACGGCCAGAGGGCTTGGTGGAAGCTGCCGCGAGGGAATTGGAGGGTTTTAAGCGTTTTAAGGGTTGTAAGGGTTTGAAGCCTGGCAAACGGCAGGCTTGAATGCCTTAACAAGAGAGGGCTATGTGCAGGCAAATGAGGCCTTTGAAGCGTGGCAAACCGCTTAAACACAGACAAGCACTTGTTGCAAGAACGACCTTGGACAATGTGAAGGCCATGGCCGTGAGAAAGCAGGTTCCACACCTCCGGTGGTCCCAGGCGCCGCCCCTGCCTTGGCGAAGGCCGGGTCGGCGGATATTAAGAACATTGTATAATATTGTATATGCGTGTACATGTGTTTGTATGTATATAATATCTATATCTACATATATATATATATATATAATGTATATATATATATAAGATAGGTTGCATGATATATGTGAGAAATTGTACGAAAATGATTCAATGATATGATCTTCATCTTCCAGTTACATCTGAGATCAGGTCCGGAACATCTCTCCAGAAGAGCTGAAGGGGATCTTGACGGCCCTGGTGGAGGAGATGCAATGATGAAGCCACAGATCAGGGGATGTGAATGGGGAGTTGTCATGGGGATATCACGGGGATATCAAGCAAACTTTATGGGAACATCACGGGGATCTAATAGTTGGCTATACCTCAAACTGGCAAATTTGTTTGTAACGTTTTGTGGAAAGGTAGAACCTTCACAGATTTCACAGCAGAGTATACACTCCACACATTGGATGCTCACCGCAGTCAACCATTTCCAGATATTTTCAGCTTGGAATCTTTTTTGTTGTTGCCATTGGCACCTCCGCGCAGAATCTTTCCAGCCATCACGACACCCCTGCAGAGCCTCATACTTTGGCACAGCCCGGATACCTGGGTGCTGGATGGGATTAGTCTGGCGCGTTGAGCCATGTTGAGCCCCATTTTCCTCCATGAACTGGGACCGCCCTGGAACCGAGGCCAAAACCTTTGCGATACTACTCCTATGGCCAGGCTAGATCGATGGCATGGGGTTACTGGATCAATTTGAGAATTCACTGTGCATTCAGAGAAGATTGTGCATTCTGATTTTTGGTGTCAAGATATATCCCCACATATACACCAGGTACTAATAGATAGTTCTACCTTAAGTGGATGGATTTAGTGGTCCTGCTGTGGAGCAAAATGATTGGTCAGCAAAAGAGCCCGTCACACGTAGCAGATGAGCATGTCAAAGGAAAAGTTTGGACACCTGCAAAGCTTGACGACCGTAAAAGACAACCAGTAGATGTTCCACGAAACAGGAGGCCAAACACTTGCTCAGCAAGGGGGGGCGGCACAGTTTTGCTTGTCCGTTTGTAGCCCATGTTGTGGCTGCAAATTTTGTGTTTGTCTATTTGTTTGTTTATCATTCTTTCTCTCCCTCTCTCTCTCTATATATATATATATATACATCTATCTACCTATATTCCTGTTCTTTCTTATCAATCTATCTTATCATATATTTAGTCTATCTAATCAATCCAATCCTTTTGCTTATCTATCTTCGATCGTCTCCATATATGGTGCGGACGACTATTTTCCAAAATGGACCGCGTCTGCCAGAAAACAAACCTGCTTCAGGCACTCGCAGCACTCTCTACACATGTCCCACAGGGGTGCTTGCAATTTTGCTTTGCAATCCAAGCTATGTGGTTCAAGTCTGTTTTTTTTATCCCTCCTTCTCGGTCATCTTATTTGTCTAATCGATCCAACCTAGTTTATCTATCTAAGCTATGCAACTACATGCAACTACTGTATCTAACTACCTACTCAGTAGGACCTAATCAAATCGATCCATCCCTTTATTCATCTAGATTTTATAGCTGTTTGTGTGTGACGTCAATGGCTTGTAGCAAGCAATTACTGTCGTGGACACTCGCCAGTTGCGACCAGCTGTAGATGCTACTGCATAGTGGAGCCTTGCGTTCTCAGCAGGTGGGGCACAGTCAGCTGTAGTTTGCTTTGAGCTGCTGCTGCAAGCCCATTGCCACCATCCACATCGTCATCGAACTCACCACCGCATCATTTTGAGCAGCACCATCTGTGAATTGATTCTCCTCCTACATCCTAATAAATTATTTGGTTCAGTCTAGCAGCCGACCCCGATTCCATTCCAGCCACCGCAGATCGCATCAGTGCAAGTGTGACTCGACCGCAAAAGGCTGCAACTGGCGCTTTGGAGAGTCAGATCAAACTCATTTGGTGGCTGCAGCAAAAAAGTAGGTTGGAAAGTGTTGCAATCTATGGGAAATCACAATCTCTGAAATCACAGTGTCAAAATGAAGCACCTGGCTACGGGGTGAAAAGCATACTACGAAATAGAGGACCTGTTCGGGATCAGGCTAATTACTCAACTCAAAGTAGCTACGGTACATATTACTCTTGCTGCTGTGAGCAGCATATTTTCCAAACATTAGATTCCAGCTGGTGCGGGGCAGTCTCAATGAGTTCGATTCATGGCTCCGTTTGAAGTAAGCCGCAAAGCCTTCCGGTGAGAACTCCCAGTGGAAAAGCAAGGAGGACATTGAGGACATGCAAGATATCAGCAGGATGGTTCCAATTGTCATGCAAGTCATGTTACTTGAGACTGTGCCAATTTGTGATTTCCTGTATGTTTGTTGGAACCGTGTGTGGTGAATGATTCCATTGGTTTGAGTCCGCACAGCAGCGCCACGTGGCGCGTTGCAGTGGCACGGTGGCAACAGAGTTGGAACATTTTGCAGCCAAAGGATGTTTGCCTACATTGTTGCAATCTGTTGCAGGTGCATATCAACCAAGTCAACCAAGTTTCATATTTCATCATATTTCATCATATTTCATCATATTTCATCATATTTCATCGTTCCGGATCAGCCCGGTGCCACCGTGCCACTGGATCAACGAGCTGACACGAGATTGCGGGAAGGCGCAGTGCCGGACGTTTCACCTTAGCGAGGGTTTGTGACATGCAGGGTTCACAGGATAATTAGCATCATGACACTGCCTCTATGTTCAACAGGTGCCGCCCTTTGGTAAATTTTGGGATGTTGTTACACATGAATTCTATCACTATCACTCTTCGTGGTTGATGAATGAAGGAGTTAGTACTCCTTGTCTCTTCGATTGGATATCAGGAATCACATGAGAACCAGAGATGGTTCAGCCACTGCATGATTTACAGTAATTTTGATAGTAACAGTAGATGATAGTAGGAGCAAGCATGACATTTTCTCGTCGCAATGTTTTGCAGTGCAAGCCCTTTGGTAGCGCGCATTTAGTAAGCCTCTGGCCAACCATTGCCATGGTCTTTCAAAAAATAAAAATAAATATATTCCTTATTTATCCTTATTCTATATTTCATATTCTACATTTCATATTTTATTCAATTTATACTCTGTATTCCACAATCACACTGTATATTCCACACTTTACACCACAATTTACACTCCACATACAACACTTTACAATTCCACACATCCAGACTAAATTTCAAATTTTACAATCTTCACACACTTTGCATTCCGCACTCCAAAATCCAGATATTCGACTCCAGATTCCCCACTTTATACTCCACATTTTATATATTACACATTTTTATACCGCACTTTATACTTAATTTATGCTCTACATACTTCCGATATTATATATTATATTTGGCTGCGGCTCAAAATGTAAGGTTCCAATCCATACCCCGGTACCACATGCGATCCATACCCCATGATCCATACCCATGATCCATACCCCTTTAGAGGACATGATCCATACCTATGATCCATACCCATGATCCATTCCTCAGTAATTGCAAATCCTAGGCATGTATTGGTTTTGTTTCTGAGCTGTACCTATGGGACGGGGGGGGTTTATCTTGATTTAGACGAAGCAAAAACGCGCAACAAGAAAACAAAGGAACAAATACAAACTAAAAACAGAAACAAGAACAACACCTTCCAATCAAACACACCACTACTACTACTACTCCTCCTCCTACTACTACTACTACTATTACTACTACTACTACTCCTACTACGACTACTACTACTATTACTACTACTACTACCACCACTACTAATTAAGGCATTGGCACCTTTATTATTAACACCATATTAGGAATAATGATAGTATACAACAGGTCTGAAACAGGTCTGAAACAGGTCTGAAATAGGTCTGAAACAGGTCTGAAAGAGGTCTGAAACAGGTCTGAAATACTTAAGACGTTTAAACTACGTGCCTTTCCCCTGTTATAATTTGCTTTCCTACTCGATTCCTATAAGCTATATTACTATCCTGGAAATAAAATAATAAATATGATATCTATACCTATTTTTCTATATTGTTTTATGTCCTAGATTGTATTGGTTGCAATTGATCGCCTTTTGGGTGCTAAGTTTTCCGGATCGTAATGGCTGTAATTAGAGTGCATTTTGGGTGCTGTATTTTTCGGACCGTTGTGGTTGCAATTAGAATACGTTTTGGGTGCTTACTTTTCCGGACCGATTATTATTATTATTATTATTTCCGCTATTATTACTACTACTGCTACTGCTACTACTATTATTACTATTACTACTAATTAAAACATTGGAACCTCTACTACTAGCACCATATTAGGAATAATGGTAGCATACAACAGGTCTGAAGCAGGTCTGAAATAGGTTTGAAACAGGTTTGAAATAGGTCTGAAATGCTTAAAATTTCAATTTTTCTTTCTTACCCTTCGTTTCCCTAATTTTCTTTTTTTACTTTGAAATGATTTTCTTGGGTTTTACTTTCGTATTAGATATTATGAATTTTTACCAGGCACCGTTACTTTTTTGAATAAATATATTTGTTCGTTTCTATATTGCTTCATGTGCCGGACTTTATTGGCTATAATTGGATCGCCTTTTGGGTATTATTTTTTCCGGACCGTAATGGATGTATTTAAAATGCATTTTGGATGTTTTTTTTTACC